ATTTTCTGAAACCTTGGATGCAAGTTGGTCCAGTATTCGAAATTCATCGGTACAATTGGTTGAATCTGTACAAAGATTGAGAATTTTTAGCAAAACGCTTTTTTTCAATAGCCTCTTTAAAAATTGAATTCCTCGGAGTAAAATAAATCAAATATGCTTAAATGTTGCTCATTGATAAACCCATTTACCTAAAAACGTTTTATAGGATGTCTTTCCTGTATTTTTTTTATTTGTTTTTGAATGGAGTTTTCCAAAAAGAAGCGTTTTTAAATAATTCCACCAACTTCTTGCACCTTCAAACGATTACGCTCAAAATTGTACCGATATATTTCTAATACTTTGTCAACCAGATGGAGATCCGAAAAAGCTATTTAGCTCTGGTACTGTATATTTGACAACCGATCACCTTTTTTGGCTAACGTGCATATATATTCGTGTATTGTTTCTTATGAATAGACTGTTTGACCTTACATTACCGAAGACAACAATACATTGCGCGTGTGTAGTAGAGCTGCCAATTTAATGCAAGAAATTAGACTAGCTCGCCCTGGTGTACAAATTCCACACTGATCTGTCCAGTATCCAATAGGTCTTATCCATCTGAACAATTTTACATAACCTGAAACGTTCTATCTAGTCGGGACGACAAATTAAAGCAAACAATTAGATGCCAAATTTTACTATTCCACTGTCTCATAGCAGCATCCTGAACTGATATGTGTGCGACTTACCTTGTGAAGAGCTGGTCCGAAAGTGAGTGGAGAATTGCCCGTGTGTGTTTATGAAGCGTTGTCATAGAGACCTCCATTTAGCGGCATTGAACTTTTGCGCTTACAACGGGGGGCTGCACACACGGCTTGCTGACTCATAAGAGTCAAGGTAAGACCTGCTTATACTAGCGCTAATATATGCGACACAATATGTTCACCATCCGATATGTCTTATGCATCTGAACATGTTTGCCGAAGACAGCAACTTTCTGTCAAATGGTACACTAGTGCCTCTTGGTATGAGTGTTATGAACTGAGCTGTCCCCGCTCACTTGTGGCGCTCTAGTGCCGCTCTGTGTAGAAAACCACAATGCCGACAATTGGGAGGTTTTTATGGTTATTGAAAAGGGCCTCCCTTACCTTAGTCGGTAAAGGCGGAGCTACGAAGCAAGACCATGCTGAAGGTGGATGGATTCGATTTTCGGTCCGGTCTAGGCATTTTGCGGGTTTGAAAATGTCTCGACTACCCTGGGCATAGAGTATGATTGTCACAAAATTATACTAATGCAAAAATGGTACAGGCATCGAAAGCTCTTAATTTATGCTAATATGTGATAAGCAATAAGCTTGAAATGCGAGAAAGAAGAAGAAGAAGAAGAAGGTAAATACATATTCGTATTCGCAAAACTCAGCATCTTAACGCGCCTTGAAGGCGCTTTCTATGGTAGCGAGCTGTCAACTGATAGATTTAGTGTCAAAATAAAAATTTAAATCTTGATTTATTAATCAAGATGAATGTCTATGAAACTGATAAAAATATCGTTAGAAAATATAAAGCGGCATGTTTTTCAAAATTAAAGAACCAAATTAAATTGATGAATTGCCGCAATAACTGTTGCTTGATATTGCTACTGAAAAATGATGATGATTGTGAAAAGGTGCTAAGAAATACATGAAATTCATGCCTTTTAAATGCAATTTTCCCAAGACCCGCACAGATTTATTTTGAAACATACATTGAAAAATGCATGAAAACTCAATTGCATTTGGAACCATCCCTTCACTGCCCCCAACCGAGATTAAGGTTTGACTGAATACATTCAATTGGATTCACCAAAAAAACACTAAAACTAATTAGTTTTCATCGTTTTCCGAGAAATCATTAGGAGCGTAACACGAGCGAATGGATGAAAATTATTATTAGATTTTTATCGATTTAACATGAATTCATTTCGTAATTTACCAATTGGTTAGAATTGATGTTTGCTTACCCGACACAATCAACAATTTCATTATAATACCGTTTAATTTAGCAATCAAAGTATTTTTAGTAAATGGTTAGTTGGGAAATCCTTCCAAATCTTGTGTTCACAATCCCACCCAGCCATCAATTTGTTACCCCTAGCTCGAGATAGCCGCGAGTAATCGGCCCCCGCTTTATTAACGTTAGTTTTAAATAATTTTGTAATCTAAACAATGAATATCGGCTCCGCAAAGCTACAGTAAATGAGCCTGGAAAAATAACGCATGATAAAAAAAAAATAGTTGGGAAATCCAATGAAACTATCACTTCTTGAAACTAATCCCTTTCGTATTTCTTTCATTCTCTTTTCGCACTTTACGTATAACACCATCTCATACTAATCTTTACATTCATTCAATAATATACGGAGCTCTCATTCCGATTGCGTGGTGTATCAGCGATTTAAGACGCAAGCCTCCTCCCTGATGACCATTGCAATGCAAGAACATTTGTTTCCGTTGAAGGAAATATCACGCACAGGTAATTGCTATTAGATATTTTGGCAGACAGTGACAGATGGTGAACATGAGATCGAGGAGGGGTTAACATCGAACCAAGAACGGAAATTAGATCACCGCAGCATGGTGAGACCGGGCCATGGTGAGCAAAATTAAATTAAATACGCGCCCGATTTGAAAGGCATATTTTTGAACCTGGAAGTGTGTTTGCAGCCTACCATAAGCGGGGCTTATTGTATATGAAAGTGATCTCGGAATGGATGTGAATAACCAGGCATTCTGAAATGGATTGCTGGATCTGCAGTAGAGCTATCACATTCTAACTTCCGGACTAAACCTCCTTTCATTTGTCACCTCAAGGATTATTGCAAGCAGATTTCTCTTATAATACCTGGGGCCGGCCAGTGGGGGTTTGATTGAATACACATAAACACACACACATGATTCTAACTGTAGGGTAGTATAAAGAAATCTAACACTTTTTCTCAAAATGGAGCACCCTAATGGACATCCCATAATAAAAACATATAGCCATGATTGGTAAAATGATAGGGTACCCAAGTAACCAAAAGTTCTGATAAAAGGCTATTTGTGGCTTAAGCAGCTTGGTTGAAGGTGGTCTATAGAATTTTAAGCATCCTCATTTTTTAGTCGTTATAAGAACTTGAAAGTTCCGGAAAGCAGCTTCTGGCGGAGCGTTAACGGAGCTTTTAGAAAATAAGTTTAAAAAAAGTTTTTTGACCTCACACCATTTTTATATTTAGTTCGCACTTTTATGAAAGTTATTTCTAAAGGCAGGGACAAACGTGTACTGATTATCACCTTAAGTATTAGGTTTTGAGGCTGTTTGAAGAATTTAACCCAGTCCCTCTGCGTGAGAGCCCCAGCACAAACCGCTACGTCATCTGATATATAATAAAGTGAGCTACTGTCCCGCCTACTGTTGGAGTTCTCAGTGCCAGCTGACTGATTTGAATACGAAACACAACACCTTGATGAATTTTAAATTGGTGTTTGCCCACCTGTTATTCCAACTCACTTGTGTCGCAGTGGTTAGCGTTCGTAGATCGCATGCCGAATAAACGGGTTCGATTCCAGGAAACTGTTTTTTAATTTTTTATGTTTGGATAGAATATTGATGCACTGCATAAATATAAGCCGCTGATCATTTCATATTTACGTACATTAAATTTTGTTATTAATATAGATTTGTGCGCATTGCTTCATGTGGGCTATGACGGACCTTTTAAGAAACTTTAAAGTTGCTAAGAAGTTCTGCTGGGAATATGTTCGGAACTTTGTTGTGGCCATGTTTCAGCCTTGTCTGAAGTTCCTCAGAAGTGCTTAGGGATGCTTTTTTGGAACTTTTTTGAACTTCAAGTTGCTAGAAGTACGCATCGGAGCTTTATGTAACTTAAAAGTGGGTTTTATCGTTGAATACGGAACTTTTGGTTGCTTGGGAAGAAAGTTCTGGCAGAACTTTATTTGAACTTTATGGAACTTGAAAGTTCTGTCGGAACTTTATTTGAACTTTGTGGAACTTGAAAGTTCTGTCAGAACTTTGTTCGAACTTTATGGAACTTGCAGGTTCTGTTGGAACTTTATTTGAACTTTATGGAACTTGGTTACTTGGGTAGAGCACAACTTCGGTATAAACGGCCATTTCCGTCATATCGCAGAATCATCAAATATATTGGTGAGTTTGGCGTGAACGAATCAGTCATACATTTGGTACAATAGGGCTTGGACAAATATTGGAATGTTTCTTTCAAAGATGACTTCTACACTTAGTTACCTTCCCATTCCCAGTAACAAATTGTTAAGATATTGATAAAAATCTTACATCGCTTCTTGATTTTACTTCCGTCATACGAGTCATAATAGATCTGTTTATCTATTATTCTCGAAAACAAAAGAAGCAATCCTATAGAATAAATTTTTTCTCGCTTCATACGTATACTGTAGTGAATTCAATGGCGTTCCAATATGTTGTAATGGAATTGAAACTCGTATGACAGAATTAACGTCAAGAAGCGATGTTAGATTGTTATTAATATCTGAACAATTTGTTACTCTTTATCAAATCCAACGATAAGTATGGAAAGGTAAATAAATTAAGAAGTCATCTTTGATAGAAACATTCCAATATTTGTCCAAACCCGACCGCAAGAGATAGGTAAAGTGCGGTTTGTGCTTAGTATGACATAAATTAGATGTTTACCCTACATCTACACTATAGAGCTACCCACATTGGATCCGTTTACGTTGCGTTGACGTACATTTGACAGCTATCACTTTTCTACAACGCGTCAGATACGGATCTTTAGTCTAATGGACCACCCTTACGTCTTTACAATTTTTTCATCATATTATCATCGTGTTCATTGCCGCTTACAATATTGACAACCTGCATTACAGTCAAAATCGCTTTGTCTCCGATTATAATACATTGCAAACTTTTCAAATCGCTTCTTCCAGCAAACACATAAGGTTAATCCCACCTCGTCAGCACAGATAGTGGGTACTTACTGGATTTTCTGCTGTTTTGTGCACTGGAAATCTCGTCACTCTCTTCGCTATCTGGTGGGAAAAACAAATTCACAATTTCCGAATGGACCGTCCGGGAGATTTCCGGTGTCATGTAGCGCACTTTGGTGATATCCGAGCAGAGACTGTGCCGCCAAACGATGAGCAACTTTCCGGACATTAGTTTCTCCCGCAGAAGGGCTCCTGTGGCCGGCGAGTAGATTGCATTTGATGACATGGAGGATTAATTTTTTTTAATGATATTCACGCACATCCATATGTTTGAAGTAAAGGGGAGTAAAAGAGAAGAGAAAAAGTTAATTAGATTTGTTGTTGGCTTTTTATTTAGTGAGAGGGAGGAATTAACAAAGCACGTACTCATCGCATTTCGGGCGGTTTGGAATGTGGAGAAATTGAAACCACCCTCCCTCGAATCGATGAGTGCCTCTGAGTCCTGGATAGGCATCAAGAGCTCTAGAAACTCGGTCTCGGTCAAACCATACTCGGAGCACGTAATGTAGATTGCCAGTTTGCTGAAGCCTTTGACTCCAAAGCGCTGCTCCATCATGTCGAATATGTTATTCATGTATTGTTCAAAGGACTCTGAATTATCCTCTCTCCGTACGACTGTTTCATTCTGTTCCAACGAGAGATCGAATAAGTAATCGGAATTTTTAAAGCGTTCCTTCTGCATCGGCGTGAGTTTAAGCGACTCGATCGGCACAGTGGTCGAAAGTACCAGGAATACGTTCCACGGTAGGCTGATTGGAAGCCATGAGAGGGCTGCCACAATGTCACAATCCAATGGGTTCAACCTGTGCAAGTCATCGATGAAGAGAAACAATATCTCGTTGTGCAAGTCTTCGCAGTGTTTCAATAGATTCTGAAACCAATTATTTATGTAAAGCGGATCAAACGAGGCATCCTTGGGCAAATAGCCTTCCGGTATATTGAGAATGATTGCCAGCTGTTGACAGATTACTCTCAACAATTCCAGGTTGTAGGCTGATCGGGGGGTGGCTGCTGCATACCGGATCACACGATGCACTTTAATGTGCTCGAACCAGCCCGTTAGTTGCGAGTAGATGTGCGATAGGAGTGTGCTTTTGCCGCTGCCGTGTCCACCGTAGATGAAGTACGGTGGGTGCCGGCTGCCAGAGCGGTAGTTCAGTTGAACATTCTGTCGTATCCGGTCCGGGATTTTAGATGATATGTATTTGCCGGCACTGAGATGCTCATTCAAGTACATTAGGTGGGTGGAATGTTCGTGAAATATTTCCTGTAAAGAAATGGAGAAAGGATGTAGGAATTGGAAAGTTGTTGCTTATCGAAGCTGTGCTCATAAGTGTTGTGAAAAACGCAGAAAATAAAATTATCACTTTCTTGTTTATTATTTATGTAAAGTTCAAAAAAGTTATGGCCAGATTCAATCGCAAAGGTATAAGTGATTTATTTCCATCGCCAATGCATAACGTCACCTTTCCTACAGTACTTACACTGCCGCATATAACATATGTGGAACTTCATTCAAAATATCTGACCCCTTTTTTGTGTTGACTCAGTGGTATAACTGGCATAGTTGGACATCAATCTGTCAAAACAAAATGTTCGTGATATCGACACTGAGTGTTCATAAGAACCAATGTCGAAAACATAAATAATGGCTTCTTTCGTAAATTTCTCGTATTTCAAAATCAATCCATGTAAGCCATAAATTCGGTTTGATAGAAGGACTCTTTCTCTACACAGTCATCGTGGTGGTTTACTTGAGTGAGTTTTTATTTTCGAGAAATCACGCAAAAATTGATTGTTTACGTTTGAGGCATTGGCCCTTGCGAAAGAAAAGTGTATGTACGGTTTTATACTCAGTAAGCATTGACGTTCACGGCGACTCTGCAACTCTTTACTCCTATGGTAAAATCTCATAAGCATCTGACAATCTGTGCATGAAATCTAGATGTCTTTGCCTTATCCCTTCATTCCAACATGGAACCAGCAAGCCACCGTCTCTGCACGGAAAGATTGACAGAATCTTATGGGATTTTCATAGGAGTGAAAGGATAAGGAAATGTTCTCCATGTTTCACCCACAGACTTATGTTTGCCTATGAGATTTTATCATAGGATCAGTGATGGAAATCAAGCGAGCATGATCCGATTTCCTGTTTGTCGTAAACTGTACAGATCGTGATCTGTAAAAACTACTAGGCAACTCACATATAACAAATACATTGTTAGATTGAGTCATGCTCAGAGAAGTGAGTTACCCTTTTCGCTTATTATATCCACAAATCGCAACATGTGCTTATTTCACTAGATGAAGTGAGTGTCTCTCTGTGAGTCGCATTCTTTGGCAGTTTGGGGTTACAGAGCAATAGCGAATTTGTTTATTCTCAGGTTGGAACCAGTTCCAACCCAGAGCAAACCCGAACTTTTTGTCAGTGCGAAAATCGACCCGTGCCAGGTAATAAAAAACAAACGATCAAACTGGATTTTTCTCGGCGGGTTAGATGACATGAAAGCTTCAGGAAAATGTATGTGAAGAGAGAGAAACCAAAGTAATTTTACAAATTTCATGGAATATTTCTGAGAACTTCTTTGAAGCTCGCAAATTTTGGAAAAGTTTTACAAACATCTAATAAATTAGAAAAACTTCACAGAAAATATACGAATTTAACAGACATTCTGAGAACATCCAGAGAAAATGTGCAAACTTCAGAAAAAAATCTGCAGAATTAAAAGAACTTAAATAGACGATCTTAGAAATTTAGAGAATAAATACAAACTTCAGAAAAGTCCTAAAAATTTTCCAAGAACATTTAAAGAAAAACTGTTCCGAAATTCATGAGCTAATGATTAAATTAGAAAACACATTTAGATTGAAAAAATATACCCAAGCATTAGAATGAGAAAAAACATAAAATGTTGAATAACTCACTTAGCAGTCATTTCCGACCCTATAACACATTCAGAACCCATTTTAAAAGTGCTGTTTCTTGAAGCATAATGAACCAAATTAGTTGAATTTTTCTCATTTGTAGTAAAAATATAGATATGTGAGATGTCCTACATTATATTAATACCCATTCACTGCTAAAAAAAATCCACAGCAATTCGATTCTTGGCTACAAACCATCGATTTGTTATTTAGAGATAAATATTTATTACGATATGAATGATATTTTTGTCCCGTACGTTATGATTCATGTCTCGGACGACACCTTAATATTTCAGGCACTATATAATTATATCTTGAAATACCTATACACCTTTATGATAAGAATATGAAAATATATTACGTTTGTTCCTTTAGACAACCCACGGTTTTACAACCGTTTTGTGTAGGTATCACCCCTGAATGGTGAAAATATTAAAACCCTTCCAATATTCTTAAAAAATAAAGCCCCCGAAATATGAATCACAAGTTTCAACTTTGAAAATTGCTACCTTAAGTGTCCGAAATATGAATCAGAACGGTGCAATAAATCTGGAGACTTTTTTTTTATAACGATGGTAAATTGGTAATACTGAGACATAAGTGGATTTTTTTTTTAATAAGATCAAACAAAAATGATACCAACACAAGAAATTGAAAATATGAATTGTACAATCTTATGGGTGCCCTATGTTAGAAGTTTCTTGTTTGAAAGTCACGATGAAAATGAATGTGAAGGCAGGTGGTTATAAAATCCCTTAGATAAACAGTTATTGAAGATGAGTGTTTTTTCTCTAGAGCTCTGCTACTATCTGTTTAATTGAACTTATTTTTATCTGAGTTTTTCAAGCTTCTCATTGTATGTTTTATTGCTTTTGAGTGTGGAAATATGTAACCGTTATTATACAGAAATACAGAGTGCACCTACATTTTAATAAATCTCTTCAAACAGCTTTTAAATATGACAAGGGCATTGGTGTTTACATCAAAGAATTTAATAAAATCTATTTTTATATATTTTCCCGTCTGAATTGCTTTTGCATCTCTTTTGGTAGGGTTACGGTATGTAATGTGGGTCTAGTCCTTTCATTCGGCCTATCACGCAAATAAATAATTAATTAAGGAATATTACACAAAAAATAAGGAAAATATTGATCACTGATGGTTGATAAATGTGTACCACACACAAATCAATTTATATCACAACATTTCAATACATTTTCAGCTCTCGTAAGTAATAAAACTGGTTGAGAATATCACAATGTTCGGAGTTTTTAGCCGCCATGACTTATAAGGTTAAGATGGGAAGGTTGACTGACGATCATCAAATGGCCTGATTATGGCATTTATTGATTGGAATTACCTGATAATACACACTAGACGTAAAACTTACAGTTGCTGTTTGAATATTTTATGTTTATTTTAATTGTTTAACAACGTTTTCACAAGTAAAACATGGACCCAACTTTAGTGACACATTTCTTTTCTATGTTCCTAACTATGGCCCATGAAATTCATTTGACAGCATATAGCAATAAGAGTAACGTCAACAATGTTGTTTTGCATTTGGATGATAAGGAACGAACAGGAAGGGAGATTTTTTCTGCCAAACCTGTATAATGAACATCACAATGTTCTGATTTAGATATTCTGCGGTCAAAAGACGATAAGCGAAATTTTTAATTTTTAATTTTTAAATTGAGTGATTTAATGTAGTTTTCGTAAAATTTTCTCTAAGAAATGTTTTGAGGAATGAAGAGCATTAAGTTAACAGTGATAGTGATAAAAAAAATACATCAGAAAACGTTACCAAGAGCGTTTTTTTGAGGATCAAACAAGATAGGACGAAGTTGCATCCATAAATAGACCCAATTTGGGGACAATAGACCCATATTACATACATTTCCCTCGTGAGTTATTGTCTTAAAAAAAGTAAGTTTTTCAACTTTTCGTGGTTTCTGATAGCAAACGACATGATAAGCATATCTAAGCATACCATTTAGCAGTAGAATATCGTTTGCAGGTAAATTCATTGATGAGTTATGATTAAAAACGTAATCGATGGCTGCATATTAGACCGAGGTTAGGGACGTATACCCTATATCGAAAAACGTCAGCCTTTACCAAAATATTGGCCCAGCTCAAAACATGGGATCAAATGTTTTATTTACGTGTTGGTAGACGGCAAACATTCAGACCTGCCAGTGGGCTTTTGAGTGAACGAAGGTAGAAAAGTATACAAAGAAAAGCTCCAAACACTACCGGCTATGTTAATTTTGTTTGGAATTATTTAAATTCGTACATCGTATCGAGCCCTAAAAATCCCAATAAGCATACGTGAGCTTGGGTGTGCGGCAGAAAAACATAAAGGTGAAATGATAGCAGAGTGGTGAAAAGAGATTGCAGGTAGATGGTATCCAAAGATTCAAAAGGATATCACTACGGTAACGGAAGGGAACATTCTTTTGAAGCACCGATAGGGTTTTGGTAGGGCGATGGATTGCGATGATATAATAGCAATAAAACGTGATGCTCGTAGTTGAATCATTCCTTTTGCTAGCGTAGTACTTATAGGGGCTACTGTTTGGAATTCTTGATGTACAGGCATGCCTTTATTTATACAGATATTTGATCATGCATACAGACTTCAAACAGAGAACAGACTTTATACAGACATTGGAAAAAAGTTACAGATTTTTACAGATATTAACACACAGCAGTTTAGTGTTAGGTGACAATTTTCAAAGGACCCTTTAGTTTTTAGACTGTTATGTTGTTCCCTGAACGTATTTTAGTAATTCGAACTCTTAAAACTCTAAACCTCTCCAAACGCAGAAGTATGTACTAGTTCGGAGCTCATCTCCGAAGTTTTCTGAACCATTCCGAAGTTTTCTGAACCATTCCGAAGTCTTACCAACAGCTCAGAAGTTCACAGCTCTTTTCATAAGTATTTTTAAGATCTTCGAAGTTTACTGATCCAATCTGTAGCTTTTCAAACCTCTCAAAAGTTCTTCAAACTTTGCTTGATCTTTTTTAAATTAGCTTCCTATATTCTTAGATAATATTTCAGAGAAATTCAATGAGCTTCGAAAGGTGCTTTGGTTTATAAATTTCCTTAATTGAAAAAAAAGTGGAATTCAGTGAAATTTAGAAGCACACGGAACATTAAAGTAGTATGGAAAATCTTAAAAAGACTCTGGTAACACCTCAAATATGTTTGAATGGTTTGTGCCAAGCCAGTTTCTTACCAAATGTGTTCAAATTTTGGGAGGTGAACATTTCAAATTTTGCATCAGTCTGCTACCCAAGCCTGGTTATAGCTTTGTAGTCTGAAGTACTACATAA